TTTAATTTAAAATAAATTTTATCAAAATCTTTTTAAATATAAGTATTTTATTTTGTAAATGTAAATACTTTTTTGGTATATTTGTTTCATTTTATAAATCTAATTACTTTTTTGGTTCAAAAAATGTTTAAACACTTAATCGTTCAAAATATGAATGTCCATTGGTTTTTTTCCAGACTTTTTCCATTATTTTACCACATTAACTAGTTGTATAGGTGATAAGGATGTATCTAACATGTTTTAGAAAATCCAATGAGTTATTTAACATGTTTTGGAATGTCTAAAGACTTATTTGTTTCAAAAAATTATACAATGACTTAATCATTACAAACACTAAAGTCCATTGGATTTTTTTAGATTTTTCCCTTTAAATAATGTGTAAAATATACATGAAGAATATATATATATATATATATATAATTATATTATGTAACTTAATTAATATATATGTATATAAAATAATAATAATAATAATTAAATATAATATATTATTCACTCGATTTGATGTTTTATAAATTTTAAAAAAAATATATTTTTCAAGCATTCAATACCCTGTATTAAAAGGATGCTTTTAACAAAATGTCACCATACTAACTTTTTATAACTTTTATAAATTAAATATAATATTCTAATGATATTCGAATAATTTTTTAATATATAAATAATCCGAAATTTAATTACTTCTAAAAAATGTTTGTCAATATAATAATCACAAGAAGGTGATGGTCATTAGAATTTCCTTCTATATATAAAGTACATCACACATCCAAATGAGATGCAAACTACCTATAAACGTTTGAAGCTCTCTTCCATTCCTCACCATTGATAATGTTCTCTCCTATTGTCTTCCATTCACCTCTAGCTATCATTACAAAAGATGAAAAAAAAGCAAGAAACGCAAAAATGGCAGCTATCATCGAGCGATATAAGGACAAAGTCTCAACTCTTCCGAAGCAAGAAAGTTGGATGAACATGGACGTATACAAGTACCAAGGTTTCTGGTACCACCAAGGCTTTTGGTATCATGGAGCTAATTTCTCAGTAGAAGCAGTTATGGCCGCACAAGATGATTTGAAAGCTAAACCAACCGATGTTTTCTTGGCCAGTCATCCAAAATCTGGCACAACATGGCTTAAGGCCCTTGCCTATGCCATTATGACCCGAACCAAGTTCAAAATCGATCTTGCTTCTAATTTAACACATCCATTGCTCACTATTAGCCCCCATGATTGTGTCCCATTCATTGAGACTGATTCTTTCTTGATCAACCCTTCTTACAATAATGGCCTCATGGCGACCCATATTCCTTACAATTCATTGCCTGAATCCATCATTAATTCTGGTTGCCGGATTGTTTATGTATGTAGAAACCCTAAAGATGTGTTTGTTTCCTTTTGGCACTTCATAAACGGTTTAAATGATGATGCATCTACTTCAGTAAGTTTGAAGGACGCATTTGAGATCTTTAGTAGTGGCATTAGCCCACATGGACCTATTTGGGATCATGTGATTGGGTACCATAAAGCAAGCCTTGAACGACCAGATAAGGTTTTGTTCTTGAACTACGAGGAAATGCAGAAGGATGCAAATAATGAGGTCAAGAATTTGGCCAAGTTCTTAGGTTATCCTTTTACAGAAGAGGAGGAAGCCACCGGAAAAGTGGAAGAGATAATAAAATTATGCAGTTTTGATAATTTAAGGGAGGTTAACAAGCCTAATAAAGATGGAGATGAGACGTCTACTGTTGTATCTGATGAAGCATTTTTCAGAAAAGGTAAAGTTGGAGATTCTATTAATTATCTTACAACTGAAATGATCCAGATTTTGGATAAAATCACGAAAGAAAAGTACGATGGTTTGGATATCTCAATTTAAGTTGATGAATAAGCTGCTGCAACTCTTTGTTTATGGATTCGGCACTCTTCTATGCATGTGGATGGTTTATTTTACTTATTTCGGCAGATATTTCTTTGTTTGCTCATCTGTTTCTAATTATCTTTTGTAAAAGTTTATAATAAGTGCTTTTGTATTGGAGTTGCCATTTTATTAGATAATATATATGTGTTACTATATAGGGAGCCTTCTTTTAAGAACCATAGAATTTGTGAGATCCGTGAGATCCAATATAAACCACAAATCAAATTAGAAAATTAATATTTTTGATAATTTTTAATTAAAATTTTAAATAAAGATTATTATGGATAATTTACAAATTTTCTCTCTCATCTCTCCTCTTTCTCTTTCCTCTCATCAACAAAATAATCTAAAAAAAATAAAACTAAATCTAACAAGTAACCTAACACATTGTTAACACCTGGTCACCTAACGGTACCACCAAGTAACCCATCGTGATCACAAGTGAACATAATGTGAACACAAAAACACCAAAAATATAAGACCCAAAAACTACAAATCATTAAAAATATTTTGTAAGGACTTTGATATACATTGTGAACAAAATCAATAATCAAGTTTGAATACCCGTCAAACATCTTTGCTGAACCCAAAACCAAAAATCTATAGTATCACGATGTGAACCATATCAAACATATTGTTTTAATTAAACATTGTGATCATCTATTTCTTTTACAACATTGTGATCAGCTTGTGAACACAAGGCGACGCAGCGACACCAAAAAAAAAACTAAAGATTCCTAAACGTATTGTGTAAAAACATGAATACACATTGTCAACATGTATGCTTTTACACATTGTGATCACCTTGTGAACACAATGTGACACATCAATATTAAGAACTAAAAACTAAAAAAAAAAAAAAAACTAAAAATATTGTCTAAAAACTTGGATACACATTGTGAACAATTAGTTAATGTTCTATTTGAGAAATTATGGATTTTTTATTTATGAAAGTTATATATTTTCTATTCCTGGGGAGAATAAATTAACTAAATACATCTATGAATTGACTAAATTAGCTTTTATTTTTATTTAATAAATAATATAATTATCTCAAATGAATGATTTATATTGGATCTTACGAATCTCACAAATTTTAGGGTTCTCATTAAGCCCCTTATTATATGTATATAGAGAGAGGTTGGTTATTATACAACCTTTCACATTTGTGCAACCAATACAACCCAATCTCAACCGTCCATTTCATTTGATTAATATGTGATTTCATAGAAGTTTTGATTGTTTCCTAATATAAAGTATTGATCATAATTAATGAATCATATTCATCTTCCATAAATATTCAAATCATAATAAATGAACTCTCATCATTTCCATAAATATCTCAATTTATTGGGTTGCATTGGTTGTACAAATACGATAGGTTGTATTTGAAACAAACTCTCTCTCTCTCTCTCTCTCTCTCTCTCTATATATATATATATATAGGGTTGGGTTCACGTGAGACAAAGGGTTTTTCGTGAGACCCGTAAGACCAATTTATGTTCATTGATCAACTTTATAAGCATATGATCTAATGGTTTAAAGTTGCACGGTGGCAATTTTGTAATTATTGAGAAGTTTCATGACATTTATGAATGTTCAGATCTGATGATTGTAGATCTAATCCAAGGTTGAAAATTGATCTTATGGGTTTCACGAAAAACTATAGGTCTCACGTGATTCCACGTCTATATATATATATATATATATATATATATATGAGCAATCAAATACAAACCACTCATATTTGTACAAACCGTGAAAACCACCTTTATTCGTCGATTTTATTGTTTAATCTTATGAAAGTTTTTCATAAAATTGTTTCATATAATATTTTTTCTAATGAAGTTGTTTCATATATGGTTATAAAATTGTTTCATATAATACTTGTGAAATTTTAATGAAATTGTTTTATGTATTTTTTAAAATTAATATAATGAATATGATAATTTTTATGATTAACACCTTCATAATAAAAATGATTAATCAACATCTCATAATTATAAAAAAAAATGAACAAAATGAAAAATTATGATCGAAATGAGGTTTGTACGGTTTTTATAAATAACGTGGTTTGTAAAGTAAACTTCCTATATCTACACTATCTTATAAAACATTTGGCTAAATCTCTTAAAAACTCTTAAAACTCTTAAACCCGTTCATCTCTATCCGATTTCATCCTATATCTGAATTCGTGTAACTAACTGCAGATAAATACAATCAAATACAGGATAAACATCTCATTTTAAATATAAAAAATATAAAATATAATTAGGATAATCATAATACTTAATTATTATCTTTATAAAATGTTATCTATATCTATACTATATTATAAAGCATTTGGCTAAAACTCTTAAAAACTCTTAAACTCTTAAACTTCTTAAATCCGCTCATCCCTAAACGATTTCATCCCTATCCGATTTCATCCCATAACTGAATTCGTGTAACTAACTGCAGATAAACACAATCNATGAAATCGGATAGGGATGAAATCGTTTAGGGATGAACGGGTTTAGGGATGGCTTTAACAGGTTGTACCATTAGCAATAGATGTTGTCTTTAAGAGTTTAAGAGTTTTAAGAGTTTAAGAGTTTTTAAGAGTTTTAGTCAAATGCTTTATAATATAGTATAGATTAACTATTTAAAAGTTCTTGTTTTATGTAATTTCTTTAATTCAATTTTTTTATTATAACTTAATTTTACGTAACGAAATAATTTAATTTAGGTTTAATAATATAATTTTTATAAAGATAATAATTAAGTATTTTGTTAGAACTCAATGATTATCCTAATTTTATTTTAGATATTTTATATTTAAAAATGAGATGTTTATCATGTATTTGATTATGTTTATATGTAGTTAGTTATACGAATGCAAACATGGAGTTTTAATAAGTTGTACTTATGCACAATTTACTTATAATCTTGAATTTTAAGTAATATACATCAATAAACAGTATTTTGTGCATAAAAAATTACTTTTAAGTGTTTTTGTCAAATGTTTTATAACATAGTATAGATTATAGATATAAATATGTACATACGAGATCGAGTTTAAGGTAAAAAAATGAGTTACATAGATAAGAATTTGATCTGACCAAGGAATTCAATTGGGATTTTTTTTAACTTGTTTAAAAATTAATTACCCGAATAATATGCAATAAATGTTGAAATTGCTTAGAAAATTGTTATGATTTGTAGAATTATAGAAGGAACGAGGGAACCTATATACCAAGGTGAGTTTATGTGATTTATAAAGGGAAGATGCATGCCTATGTATTGCATTATGCTGCAATAAGTTTACATTTAAGCTATATGTGTTCATATATTCGATGAAAGCATGCTCATATGATTTTATGCATGTATGTTTCGTTATGATTAGCATGAGATGTTTTATTTGTTAAGGATCACGTGCAGATAGAACACAAGATTGGCATCAGGATGCAAAGTATTGGGGGCTTTAATGGTAGAGGGTTGCTGGTTTAAGTTCATGTACTGATATTAATGGTAGAGAGCAGACAGTGGTCCTAACTCATATTCATGGCAGCAGACTGCCAAGTATTATGTGTCATTGGTTGGCTATGATATATCTGATCCACACACTTTTATATATTTTATTTATTGATATTACTCATGCACCCATGTTTACATATGTTTCTTGACATCAGATTTGCTTATAAATTTTGAAACATGTAGAATTGTGATTTTGTAATGAGCATGTTAGCATATTGTGAAGTAACTTGGCGTGAGTTGATCATATTAGTATGCACTTTTTAGGAACCGTGATAGTTGGTAGCTCGAAAGGGAAGGAGAAGGTTTAGGGAAACATTCGAGATGTTTGTCGCTAAGACTAGGATACATAATCAAATCCTCTTTATAGATGTCCGATTATTACCCAACTGAGTAGAGATTAAATTCTGTTTAAGAACACTGTGATTGTAGGATTCTATATGTTGATAAGGTACAAACATATCTCAAATATCAGATGAAATGATGTGACATATACGATTAAAAAAGTCCACCTTTTTTAACAAAAAACCACCGTTTATATTTTTTATCAAAACTCAGATAAAATATAAACAAAGTTGGAGATGACCAAATTATTCCATAAAAATAAGCATTTTATTATTTGACATTCATATTGTTATATTTTTTTCATTTGTTTTTTTTTTTTATCGTATTTTCCACATTTTCAGTACTTTTGTCATTGTTATTTGAACATGTACTTATATAGATGTGAAAGTGTGGTGGGTTTAGCCACCACATGTCACAAGTAGAGATGACCAAATTTAAGCTCACACCGGTAGGGATTGATTATGAACCGATTGGAGGCGACAAATTACACTTTTTATGAAAATTCAAGACGTGACACAGCCCGAGACCGGTTACAGGACCGGAACCGGTTATACATAGGTCGGATTTTTTTTTTTTAAATAAGTTTTTATAAATTATATATCAAGTTTTTCAATATTTATACAAGATTTTTAATTTTCTTTAACCAAAAACTTCTAGTTTTTCAAGTTATTTTTGAAGCTTTTCAAGCCTTTGTAATATTCTAATACTAAATCTCAAAAATAGTAATTATAAAAACATCTATAACATTTTTATATAAAAAATGTAAAAAATATATTTTAAAAGTGTATTTCAGTGACCTAATTAGAGATTTAACTTTTAAAATATATTTCAATAAGATATTGTACAAAAAATCTTCAAACAAGATATAATATACGTTAAAAATTAATTTTCAGAAGAAAAAAAATGGAACTGCTTTAGGCCCGATCAGGACCGGGACCGGTTCTAGGGATCGCGCTTTGTATAAAGAGAACAAGCTGGGTATTTTTGGTCGGGACCTGGACCTGGACCGCCTAACCATGGGACCATTTACAAAAATGAAAATCTCGAAACAAGATTGATTTGGGTCGACCCAACCTGACCAAAGACTGGTTTTTTACCAT